TTGGCATCCTTGATGACAGCGGTCAATTAGAGTGTTAGCAGTTAGATTCCTTGACCACGTTCAGCTGACTCAGATGAACGACAACAGGATAAGCACGGGAACTACCACTCGCAAGTTCATACATATAAATGGCTCAAGCTCGTGATTTGACGAAACAGTGCAGTTGATGACCAGTCAGTACCTTGTTCACTTCCGTGAGATGACAACAGTCAGTATTTCATATGTGTCACTTAACGTCCAATACTTTTTTGCCCAGCCATTTTTTTTCCACCCCAAATTTTGGGCCCGTCAGCCTGCCAGAGCAAATGGCTGGAGGCGCCCGCCAAAAGGAGGAGCCCTATGCCCGTTTGTTTGTCGTTCTGTGGCGTGCCGGGCAGGGCATTTGCATGCTCAGAGGAGCTTTGCCTGAAACAAGGTGGTTTAACAAACACGAACCACAAATTGATGTGCTGCCTCTCCTCACTGCCTCCCCGTCACCCTGTCGCCAACTCCTTCCGCAGGCCTTTGTTAAATACCCTACCCTACCCTACCCTACCCTACCCTACCCTCTTCTCCCCTCACCTTCCTTGTTTCCAATCACCCTGTCATCTTTCCCCTTCACAACTTTGGTAAGCAGGGTAGGTAGCGAAAGCGGGAGGTCAGGAGGGTCTTTCATCTCCTGCCCTCCCACTTTCGCTACCTACCCTCCAATACATAATCCCTTCTGTTCACTCAATACCCTTCAGCACCTCTAGCACTGGAGAGGGTTGATTAAAAAAAAAAAAAAAAAAAAAAAAAAAAACCTTCCTCCTTGCACATACTCGCACCTTGAGGCTTGAGGCTTGAGATCATCCACCATTTCAGCGCTCCCTCTTCACCTTCTCGACACCGCTCAATGCCACCATTTGCCAAAACCCTGAATTCACCACCTTCCCCTGGTTTGTCTTCTTCCCACAATTCCCGTCCTGTCCTCGCTGCTTTGCTTTTTTCAATTTCCACCCTTCAATCCCTCTTCACTCACTCGCACCAAAACAGTATCAATTACTGCCGAAGTTTCTAAGTATGGAAGGCCGTCCCCCCCCCCCTTACCTCCCAACTAACTCCCTCTTCCCTCTCCTGACCCTCATTCATTTACCTGCTCAGTTCAAGTTCAAACTCTGCCCCGAGCCCACTGTCGGGAAAACAAAATGGTATTGCTTAAGCCCGGCTGTCGCAATATTATCCAATATCAGCACTATCACAGTCTGAGTGCCCCACTGGCACAGGTAATGCAGAAGTACCAGTCATTCAGATAACCAAGATATATCCTTGAAGCTTTCTGAACGTACTTGTTATGGGCCCAGTTTGTGCCAATTGTGAGGATATGGTTGTATCTATGGGGCGCTGGACCCGGTTTCCAGCAGGTGCTGCTCCCCACCAATAGATGGAGCTTGGTTTTGTTTAAAAGAAAAAAAAAAAAAAAACAAGATATGTACGCCCCACCATCGTGCTTTACCTGTAGCTGGCTACCGGGCAGCTGTCGGTGCTATGGCTGTTCGGAGTCTGTGCCATGGCTGTTTGAATCTTTGCGTGCATAGGCGTCGGTGCCATGGCTGTTTGGAGTCCCATTTTGTTACGATCGGAAGGCAGTGCCCAGCAAACAAGGCCCCGATCAAAGACGCCCGTCTGTCAAATACCAGTCTAGCCGGGGATGGAAGAAGGGAAGGGGGGGGCAGAGGGGGGATGGGGGGGGGGGGGGGGGGAACATGGAAGGATTTGGGGACCCTCCCAGGTGGTCTGCCTCCATAGCCATACCCAGCAGCCAGGTGCAAGCCTGTCATCCCGTTGGAGTGATTGCTGATGCAACAGTCGATAGGACGAAAGCGGCAGAAGAGGGCCACCACTAGTAGGTGTGAAGAGGTTGGGTGGGGGTGCAGAGGGAGGGGGGGAAGGGGGGGGAGGGGAGGGCAAAGAGGCCCTATGAGCGATGGCTTCATGGCATGTCAACTCTTGATGAATCGCCCTTCAGTGGACGGCCAAACCGGCTTCTTTTGCACAATTGGTGAAATCTCCCCTTCCACCTCTGCATCCACTCTCTCTTCGAATGGCACGGACAAAGCGCTCTGTGCAAGAGGATCCATCTACCAGCATTATGGCAGTGTGCACCTTTTTCATCTTCGTGCGCAACAAAGCGCCCTGCGATCATGCACTGACATACACGACATCTCTCAGTTTGTGCCTCATACAGGCCTGCATTAAACCCCAACACAATGAAGGTGCCACACATGAATGGGAGGTTCCATATCCAGCCATTAACCAGCCAGTACGGCCCATTCCCAGACTCTCCACTCGATCTTCCACCTCCTTCAGCAATTGCACGGAGTTAATCTTGATGGACGAAGCCGCCCAGCATGTTGGCCCCTCTGCCTCCTCACCCACCTTCGCCACCAAGGTCCGACAGGAAATGCAACGAGGAAGACAACGAAGTGCAGCGCTAGTACTTGATGAAGCTTCGAGCAAAATACAAACCGGTGCAAGTGTACTCCGCCTCCTCACCCACCTCCTCCGCCAAGGGCCAACAGGAACGTGCAATGAGGAAGACAACGAAGTGCGGTGCTACTACTTGATGAATAAGTGTGCACGTGTACCCCAGTGCAGGTGTGCTCCCACCAGGAGTGATGTCCCGTGAGGGCGTATGCCCTACCCCTACGTATTCCCTTAGATGTAAATTCATCACCTGGTGTCAGTGCCTAGATTGTGAATCTATGAGACGCTGGACCAAATTTCCACTGAAGTATAAGCCTGGGAATGGTCCCGGTCTCATCTTCATATACCACCTTACAACTGAAAAGTAAATTGAACACAATTCTTTATTACTATTATTATATTGTTATGAACTTGGTTGTTTGACAATTGAATTGCCACTCACACACAACAGAACTCACACATGCCCATACATGCACAAGTCAGGGGGAGGAAGAGA